ATGTTGATATTTTGCAAATAAATATGATCATCGCAACCAAATCCAGGTTTTGGAATCGATTATGCGTAGAGAAGGTATTAACACCCCACAACATTCATTTTAAACAATGGTTACCCCTAATGAATTTTGCAAATAAATGGTGTTAGCATATGGTATTCGACTTCTCCTAATCATTACGATATGCTTACCAAAAGAAAGAGAAGCGAAAAAATAGGTTTCTTATAAGGGGGGCTTGACGAGACGTTGAACTTTGCTCTTACGTACCCTCAACTGCGATGAGGAATTCAAAGCTACGTCATAGTTCTTGGGGTAGCAAAAACTTATAGGTTGGTTGGTTTTAATTTTAAAAAATTTGATCGTGCTAAGTGAGAAAAAGTTTTGATTGAAAAAGTTTATTCGCGTGGTGACGAAAAATGAGTGTTTTTTTAAATTCTCCCTCTCTCTCTCTCTCTCTCTCTCATACACACACACATGAAATTTTGTAGGATTGTATGTTTAGGTTGTTTTTACCACTTTCTTAGAATCGTATGTTGTTAGTTTTTTCCTTTGTAGCGATTTATCAATGAAGTGTAGGTTCTATTAGAATCCACACTTCAAATTATCTTGTTATTGATAAAATCTTGAAATTGTAGTTGTAGAACTCTTTGTTGTATTGATTTAGGAAATTTACACGTCTTGGGTAAATATGATATTAATTAAGTACTTATTTGATAATTTTTTGGCTAGCTCTTTTACTTGGTTTTTTTTTATCATATTGTGTATAGATTGAGGTGTCTTATGTATATACTGTTCAATAAGCATAATCATTTTATATGCACATTGCTTCCGCCACGTAATCTTAATTTTTTATTTTTTTTTAATCAAGAAATTTTGGCATTAACTCAAAAAAACAATACAAACCAAGGCGATCAAAAGATCCAGCCCACAAAACAAGCAACTACGTTAAGGCAAAATAAACCTATACATTATATTGTAAATAATTCTATCAAGGCAATTCCTATTATCAGTTCTATGATTAAAACAAGCTTCGTTTCTATAAAGCCAGATCTCATGAAGAGTTTCTGTAAGGGCAAGCCTTACCAGATCAGATTTCCATCCTTTCTCATCATATTTGCTCAGAGCCCATTGCATTTCCTCTTGCCATCTTTTTGGAGTGTGTTGAATACCCATCCACTGAAGAATGCCACTCCATATTTGCTTCAACTCCACACAACAAAAAAATAAGTGATCAATGGTTTCCTCTTCATTGCAGAAAGCACACTTGGTATTGTTGATCATGCCAAATCTGAATAGTCTTGACTTGGTTGCTAGCTTGCCATGACAGATCGTCCAGAAAGTAATAATTGCCCGTGGTCTAGCTCTATTGTGAAGGATTAATTTGGCCCATGGAACATTAGGAGTACTAGATAGGAGGCTTTGATACACTTTCCTCCCATGGAATTTACCCATCTGGATCATAGCATCCCAAGTACTCTGTACGCTCATTAGATTGTCCCTTTATACGAGAATTGCTTTGAAAATTCCAGAGTCAGATCCCCTCACCATTCTAGTCATAATGTCTTCGTGTCTCAAGTAGTATGCATGTATCCAACGCACCCACAAATCATCAGATTTTGCAAAGATATTCCAGAGAAGTTTTATCACAAACATACTATTCCACATTTCCAAGTTCATCACGTTTAGTCCGCCTTGCACATGTGGTTTGCAGACATTATCCCACGCTACTGGACTTTTCCTGCTAATAGTATTACCACCTGTCCACAGAAAGGAGCGACACATAGCATTGATCTTGTTGATCACCATTTTTGGGAACCAAATGCATTGCATCCAGTAGGTTGTGATAGCATAGAGCACACTCTTGATGAGTTGCAGTCTACCGGTATAACTCAACAATCTAGAGCTCCAATGAGTTATCCGGATAAGTAATCTATCCAACAACGGCATGTAATGGATCACGGCAAGCCGCTTACTCGTCACCTGGATGCCAAGATACCTAAAAGGGAAAGATCCTTCTTTGTAGGAAGTTAGCTGGAGGATGCCGCCCTTGACACTAGCAGAAACATTACCAAAATACACCCTGCACTTGAAAGGGTTGATTTTCAAACCTGTTGAGTCCAGGAATTTGTTCAAAGTTGAGTACAGAATTTCCACAGACACATGATCTCCTCTAGAGAACAGCAGGAGGTCATCAGCAAAAGTTAAATGAGTTATTTGCAGCCGTTCACATTTAGCATGGTGGTTAAACTCCGGATTTCTTTGCATCTTGAGAAGTAACCTGCTGAGATATTCCATGATGATTACAAACAGGAGGGGAGATAACAGGTCCCCTTGCCTAATTCCTCTTCTGGCATTGGTCCTCTCAGTATACTGGCCATTAATATTAAAGCGATAAGAGACGGTAGTCACAGTGGTCATAATCCAATCTACAAATTGCTTAGGTAATCCAACTTCACTAAGTATATTCTCGAGAGCGCCCCAATCAACCATGTCATATGCTTTTTGTAGATCTAATTGGACCATACATCTAGGGGTTCCTGTACTCCTGTTATAACCTTTTAACAGCTCCATAGCTAGTAAGATGTGAGAATGGATTTTCTGACCTGGAACAAATGCCGCATGCGCTTTACTAATGATGTTGCCCAATACCTTCCCAAGTCTAGTTGTGAGAATTTTGGATATGATTTTGTAAATTGTGGTGCAACCTGCAATAGGCCTGTAATCTTTCAATGTTTTGACGTCCGGCTGTTTGGGAATAAGAGTAACAGTAGTTTCGTTGAAAGCTTTGTAAATCACATTCTGCTCAAAAAATTCTGTGACAGCTTTAATAACATCTTTATCAACAATGTCCCAGCTTGCTTTGAAAAATTTTCCGCCATAACCGTCAATACCTGGGCTCTTGAGGTCGCCTATCCCTTTTAAAGCATTAGTGATTTCAGCAACAGATATTGGTGAAATTAAATTAGCTCTTTGTTCCATGGACAGTTGAGGCCCCTCCCTCATGACTTCAATATCAATCATTTTAATTCTGGATTCCCTAGTGCCCATCAGTTTCCCATAAAACTCACAAACCTCCCTTTCTATGTCCTCTTGATTATGTATACAAGTACCATCCTCTCTATAAAGCTGATTGATATGTGTTGTTGTATTTCTGAATTTGAGGTAAGCATAGAAGAATGATGAACTCGTATCGCCCTCTCGGAGCCAATTAATCTTAGTCCTCTGTCTCAGTATTTGGCCCTGAAGTTCTTGCAGCTTGGTCAAATTTTCAGTACAGGTTTTAACTTTCTCAATAGTCTCAGTATTCATACGATCCATAACGAGATTTTCCTGGGTATGTAGTAACTCATTCCTTGCTTGGGCAATGGTCTGTTGGAGGTTTGAAAATTGTTTGCTCAATCTGCAAAGGGGGGCTTGCAATCTCAGCAGTTTATACCATAACCTTGCCATAGGTCTGCCTGTGATTTCCTTATTCCAACTCTGTTTGACAGTATCTTGATATTCTGGTATTTGCACCACACTATTAGTAAATCTGAATTTTTTATGCACTACTCTGTTAATCCTCTCAGCATTCAAACTTAACAGACAGTGGTCAGAAATACTAGGAGGGAGAATCTCCAGCTTCAAATCAATACTATCCTGCAGCCAATCTATATTACCAAGAACATGGTCAATTTTTGAGTAAATTGTACCTATTGATTGTTTATTTGTCCATGTAAAATAGTCTCCCGTGCTGTCCTTCTCATACAAGCCAGCATGATCCATCAATTTCCTGAGATCTTTAACCTCTCTATCAGTCACCAGATTACCACCAATTCTGTCCATAGATTTGGTAACATTGTTGAAGTCGCCTATAAGGAACCAAGGACCCTGTTGACTGTCATGAATATGTTGCAGTTCTTCCCACAGTTTCTTTCTTTGCTCAAGTTGATTCATTGCATAGATAGCTGTCATCCAAGTTTGGAACACTCCATTGACACCAAGGATACCACAATGTATCATTTGTGAAGTGCATTTAATCACTCTTACATCAAATTTTCTCTCATCCCAGTAGATCCAAATTCTGCCATTGTAATGCTCGTTGTAGTTGTCATGGTATTGGCCTTTGAGGTTAAGCTGCTCTCTGATTTTCCTGGCCTTGTCATGCTTTACTCGTGTCTCTAGTAGAATTGCAATCTTAGGGTGAAGGTTAAAGAGACGGGAGCTAATCTCCTTTAACTTCCCCACTTTATTTAGCCCCCTCACGTTCCAAGATGTAATCATTGGCCAGTATTTTGGGGCTCTACGGGATCCTTCAAAATCTCAAGAGCCTCAAAGCCATTTGCACAAACAATCTTGTTTATACTGTTAGGGTTGTCTTGGGGTTTGCCTCTATCCTTACCACTTCTTATGACCTCTATCCACTTCTCCATGACTGCCTCAACCTGCTCAATAATGTTCACACCATTTTCTAGAGGTGGATCAGCAGCCATACTCACCAAGTCAGTAGGACACTCTACTAATGTATTACCCTTAGCATTGTTACTCCCAGCAGGGGAATTAGCCTTGTATGCTACAATGTTGTTGTTTCCTACAGTCCTAGGAATCAGTTGAGCAGTGTTGTCCATCACAGTTTTCACATTGTCTACTTGTTGTGGTGGAATTTTAGGTTTCCATTGTTGTGTGACTTTAGGTTTATCACAACTATGACCAACCTTTTGACACTTGCTGCAGAATAGGGGTCTCCATTCATACTCAATAGGTTGGTGGATCTTCTCTCCTTCATTATCACCAATGGTAATAGTTTGTGGAAGTTCTTTTGTAATGTCCATTTCCACAAGTATTCACGCATATGATACTCTGAGTCTGTTAGCCGTGCATTCGTCTGTCATGATGGGGTTTCCAAGTGCGCTTCCTATCTTATTTAAGCTTGTATCACCCCATAGAATGATGGGTAGTTGAGGCAATTTCACCCAAATTGGTAACGTTCGCAGGATTTCATCTTTGACCTTGAAACCTGGCCTCTATTCTCGAATCAGCAGAGGGATGTTTCTTATCATGTATGGTCCCCTCAATAGCACTTCATCACGATCCTTGAATGATTTGAATCGAAGAATAAAGTAACCTTCGTCATTGTAATACATATCTGGCAATTGAACAAAATTCCAGTTCTTGGTCATGAAATTCTTAACTGCATTCATGCTGAGGTCAACCCCCATTGTATAGAGGATCAAGGATGATTCCCAAAATTTAACTTCAGAGATAATGTCTTCGTCTTCAATTACAACTTCCACTTTTCCATTCACTACTTGGGGTGCGATGAATTTCATCGCCCTACCCTTCGTCGGATTTCGATTATCCTTTAGCACATCTACCCATAGTTTACGAACTTCCTCAGATGCTCCTTCATGGATAGGTTTTCCATTCTCAGGTTGCTTAGGTATCACAGGTTGTGTTGTATCAATCGATTGAGTGACGGTTGCCATTTCTTCTTGATTAGGTTTAGTACGTGCATCTAGGGTTTCCAGAATCCCTTCTTCGGTTAAGCTAGTGTTACTCTCCAGATGGTTGCACAGCTCTGATTGTTGTTGTGTAGGTGACACTGGTTGGGTTTTTGATGGCGGAGGCACCGTATTCTTCGGCGGCCGCCCTCGCCCTCTCCCTCTCTTCATATTGGTTAGTCCTCCGTAATCTTAATTTTGTTTTCAAACTCTAATAAATTTTTTTAAACTATTTTTCAAATCGGTAAATTTTATTTTGGATGTCTAATCACGATTTATTGATTGTTGCATCTGTGAATTCTCACCCATTAGTTTGTAGTCATCATTGCATGAAACAGAGAAAGTTATGACGTGATTCAAGATATTGTGCAAACACTTAATTCAACTTAAAATAACTTTTAATGGGAAATTTTACAGTGTTTTACATGGTGGAAGTTAAAGTGGAAAAAAAATGAAGCGACATCAAATTTGAGAGAATTTGTGCTAAGAATTAGATTTCTATTTTACTAGACTGATCCTAATTATTCCTACATATAAAATTTTTGTGGTCTAATAACAAATTATTATCCCTTTCTAATCATGAAAGCTTAAAAGGTATATTATCCATTTTATCTTGAATATTAACTTTGAGGTTGATTTTGATGTTTTAACTTAAAAGAAGGTTTATATTGACCCCTTGTCACTTCAAAACATATTAGATTAGTCATTTTTATGAAGTTAAAAACAAATTTAGCGAACTATTTATGAGTTTTTTGGACCAATTTTCATGTAGTCGAACAAATTATTGTCTCTTTCCTAACATGAAAGCTTAAAAAAGATTTACTCTTTTTGTACTGAATTTAACTTTGGAGTGAATTTTAATCTTTTAATTTAAAAAAGGTTTATATTGGTCCCTTATCACTTCAAAACATATCACATTAGTCCTTTTTCTATAACTAGAAACAAATTTAACGACCTATTTCTGAGTTTTTTAGATCAATTTTCATGTGATCTAACAAATTATTATCCCTTTTCTATCATGGAAGCTTAAAAAAATTATAAGTTGTTTAAAAATAATAACTTACTATTATAAGATGATATTTTATGCGACAAATTTATTAAATCTGATCAAAGAACAATACAACCAATTAAGTCACCTAAGCGACATTAATTATATTAATTTTTTATATGGAGTGTTTGAGTTTTATACACTATAAATAATAAATAAATAATATTTTATTCTAAGGCAATAAATAATAAATAAATATATTACAAGAAATTAAATTTCTATAGATATTTAATACCTCACCATTTATAGAAGGATATCCTCCAATTCGGAATCTAGAACCAAATGTCTTATCTAAACCAATAAAATTATAGACATCATTATTAGACTATCAATTAGTGCATAAGCATTATAGGTAGTTATAACACAAAGAGGTAAGTTGTGTCATCCTCTTAAGCTTTATTGTACTAAAATCATATTTTTTTTGTACAATAAAAATCAAACACATCTTAATACAGACTAAATAAAAATTCAAATTAAAAATATAAGAAATTCAAAACAACTTTATGCATTGATGATAATCTTCCATTTATCATGTTTTAACTTTTCATCATTGTAAAGGAATAAACTTTTACCTAAAAAAACATTACTTATTATTTATATTTTTTCCCTCAAGCTTTGAAATCGTGAAAACCTGTCATTCATATTTATTTTTGATACGATTTTATGAAAGATATTTTTTTCTTTAAAAGAAAAAGATAATAAATATCAAACTCATCTTAAATGAACTCTAAATAAAATTTGTAAATAAAAAAAAGTAAAATCCAAACAAAACTTTTTGTAGTACTCATAAACCTCCTTCTATTAAATTTTAAACTTTCATCATCGTAAAGGAATAAAATTTCATCAAAAGATATTACCATATTTGATGTCCATATTTTTTTCCTCTCAATCTTTGATAACACGAAAACCTCTCCTTCATATGCATTTTTGAGAAGGTTTCTTAAAAGAGAATTTTAAGAAAAGAATAAATAATAGAGATTAAATCCATTTAAAATGAAACTCTTGATAAAAAAAATGAAAACTAAAAGAAACTCTTTGGCAGTGCTCATAATCTTTCCTCCCTCAAGTTTAAAACCTTTCATCAAAGATAGCTAAATTGTGAAAAGTTGTTTTATCCTTTACATAAATAAACTGATCACCACAATTTAATAATAATAAATATGGCACAAATATAAGAAAAGATAATAAATGAGCAAAATTGAAAACATGTTGGCAAAAAGGTTTCGGGTTTGTCATGAACAATTAATTAATCTTCTTATATTGAAGAAGTAACGAAAAATAACACTCATCACACTTTTAATATTTAGGTTTAATTATACATTTAATCCTTTAACTTAATTTACAATTTCAATTTGGTCCTTTAGCTAATAAACGTTACACTTTAGTTCTTTAAATCTAATTCCGTTAATCCATTTAGTTTATTCTGTTAAATTTTAACTTTAAATGTTTAAGGTAGTTTAATATTATTGAATGTCCATCATATACCCTTTTATTTTTTAATACTTAACTATTCTATCTAATTAAAAAATATCAAACGGTTGATATTGAATGTGTATTGGATCTAACAATGAACCACGAACACTTAATATTTTTTGACATTTCTTCGTCTTCTTCCATTTACTCTTTCTTGATCTTCATTCTCACCTTCAAATATATTCATATCAAAACTCACATTCAATATCAACCGTTTGATATTTTTTAATTAGATCGAATAGTTAAATATTAAAAAATAATAGGGTATATGATGGACATTCAATGATATTGAATCACTTTAAATATTTAAAATTAAAATTTAATGGAATGGACTAAATAAACTAACCGAATTAAATTGAAAGAATTAAAATGTAATGTTTATTGAATTAATACGGAATCAAACTGAAATCATAAATTAAATTAAAAGACAAAATGTCTAGTTAAACCTAATATTTAATAAAATGGCACCAATATCTTTTCTAGTTCTATAGTCTATATGAATCTCCTCTAAATTCTCATCAAATAGATAAAATCTTATTTTATCATAAATACATAAAAGATGGAAGATTTGTATTAAAGGAGTACGTGGGTTCAGTGTTTTAAAAACCGGACCGGTCATCGAACCGGTGAGGATATTGGGTCACTGGTTTATCAGTTGAACCACTGGGTCATTGGTCAAATCGCATGACTAAACCGGATTAAACCGGATAACTCGGTTGAATAGACCTATCATTATATAGATATAAAACCGGTCGAACCGGATGATTCAATTTCTAAAAAAATATAACTAGTACTTAAGTTTTTTGAAAATATCATATCATAAATTCACAAGTTCATAATTTAAATTCAAATTTTAAACAAATATATCACACATAATAAAATAATACAAAATTACAAAATAATTGCAACATAATCTAATTTTAAACAATTTTTTTTTTAATTTTTATAATTTTTGCATTTAAATTTTAATTAAAAAATAAAAAATGCATTAGAACCGGTCTAACCCTAAATCCGGTTTTTTCCGGCCCAACCCGGTTTTTTCTAGTTTTTACCGGTTTGATGACACAGACGATCGAACTAGTAAATCAGACCGGTTACGAGGCCGGTTCCCAGTCCAACCGGTCCGATCCGATTTTTAAAACACTACGTGGGTTACTCAACTCCCCATACATAAAACAACAACACCGTATAAACCATTAACTCAAACATATATGTAGGTATGTCTTCCAAGCCTCCCACGAAAAATTACAACGACTCCTGCAGGAAGTTATGTTGCAGGCTCACTAACTCGATTGCTATAGATTTCATCGATAATCTTGAAACTCAAGATTATCGATGAAATCTCCAAACTCCTACATCTCTTTCCGGTTGACAAGAGCATTAATCCCTTTTATTTCACTTCCTAATTTTATCCTATTAAAATCCAAAGTAACACACCAGGTATTTCAACAGTTTCCGCTTCTTATGGATGAAATCTTTACTTCTTCGTAGTTTTACAAGTAATTCAAATTAAATCTCATAATTGTAGAATATTCTTTGATCAATGGAAGAATCACTTAAACTTTCTTAAATCTTGCCAATGTTAGTTATGTTAAGTACTCCTTATACCTTTTCAATTAATATGTTTATAGAGAAGTGATGTTTTAGGCCATCAACCTATAAATAATGTATGTTTTAAAACTAAATTAAATATCAATATGTTATTACCTTAATTTTTTAATGAAAATGTCATTTGATGTAAAACATACATATTCAATCTCTAAACTACTTAAATAAATAAAAATTAAAAATTACGTGTTATATTAAAAAATATGACTTTTCAAAAAATGAAATCTCTAAACTAATTAAGTAAATAAATATTAAATTAAAAATTACGTGCTATATTAAAAATTAAAAATTAAAAATTAAAAATAAAATTGAAATCCATTGGCTTCTATTATTACTTTTCAAAAAATATTTGAAATCCTATATTGAAATCTCTTAATTAGAAAACTAATAATACGAAAGAAATTTAATATTTCGTGCTAGGAATGAAACTATATTTAGGGATACTCCAACCCAATTACAAAAGCCAGTAAAAATAAGAAATCACAAGAAATTTTTAAAATGAGAGACCCACTCATAATAGCTACATCTAACATTGTTCCTATACTTATTCCCCAACACCAACCATCACTAAGACAAATTAACAATCCTCTGAAAAATAATTTTTGAATTGAAAAACTCATCGATAAAGAAAATACGTTTCCTAGAATGCCATAATGACCAACAAGTGAAAAACCACAAGAAACAAGCGGGTTGAACATAGCCGACCGACCTCTCACCCGAACAAACCACTTCATCAAGAACTTGTTGCAATCGTCGTCAATAAACCACTTCAAACCTAACCATAAATAAACTCGTTTCCAAACCAATCTAGCTTTCTCACAACCACATAAAATATGGTTAGAGTCCTCCATTACAAGAAAGCAAAATACACAAACACAATCGTGAAGATTACTTATATTATTGCGATTTAATAAGTTGGGGGAAAAAATCTTGACCCAATTCAAAGGATCTGACAAAAAAATTTCATTTTAAAATGATATTTAGAACCCGTTTGTTTTGCCTTTTTAAAACAAAGTAATTTTTATAGTGTAACATGATTTTA